GAATATTTCAATATTTCAGATTCCATAATGAGATTTTCAGGTCAGCTTGTCTTTCTATTGCACTGATGTTCTTATCTTGCCAGGGTTTGCTGTGTGTGATGTCAACACAAGAGAATAAGGAAAAACGTGACATCCATGGCAGATGTAACATGGAATAGAGCAGTGAATCTCAGGGGCACATGAAAAAATATTGAAGAGACAGATGCTAATGAGCAATAGCTATAAAGTTGGCAGGAGGATGCTAGGGTGCTAGTGTTTTCATGAGGGGGTGCCATCATGTGGTGCCATGCACAGTGAAGGCCGGCTTTCACTGTGCCACCCATAGTTAACCAATCCCCCTCTGAACACGACACCTACACAAGGATACTTCCTGTTCCTTGCCCACCCATGGCTGCATTTTCAGGACTGTGGCAAGTTACTGTGGTGGGGGGCTGCCTTGTCTATATGTGGAAGGGGGGACAGATGGACTGTATTTTATGTATGTGTAAAGAAGAATGGGGCAGATGCCTGTATTGTATGTATGTATTGTATGTATGTATTAGGAAGGGGACTTTATTGTATATGTGTGAAAGGGAGGAGGGCTGCATTGTATGTATGTGTGAGACAGGGCCGTAGCTACTATGGGGCGAGTGAGGCACTCGCCTCAGACGCAGCACAGTAGGGGCGCAGCCAGGGCCGGCCTGGCTGAGCCCCCTCGCCCGTGCTGCTATGGTGAGCACAGGGTGCCATTGGCAACAGGGGAGCCAGTCGGCCATCACAGCCGCGGCTCGGCAGGGAGAAGAAGAGCGGCACAGGCTCCAGTTTCTCCTTGGATCCCTGCTGCTCTCCCCCACCTGTATGGGCAGAGGACTCGGTGTCCTCAATCTCTTTTTCTATTTCAAAAGGGAAATGTCAGGGATCTGTTAAATTGCAGGGATCTGTTTAGACCCCTAATATTTCCCTCAAGCCACCCAACAGTAATCCCCCCCCCCAAAAAAAACACTCCCCCTATACACACACTTATGCACACATATTACTAGATATGTGCAAAGACTAAACATTTGTTTTGGACAAAATGAACGGGAACAAAAAATGTTTTCATTAGGTTTCGTTAAACAAAACACATTTTTATGCTTTTTTGCTACGGCTCTGGTGTGAGAGGAGGAGGCTGCATTGTAGGTATGTGTAAGAGGGAGAGGAAAAGGGCTGTATTGCATTTAAGTGAGATATGTGAGAAGGAAGAGGGTAGGTTGATGTATTGTGTGTGTGTGTGTGTGAAGCTGAGAGGGGGGTAGGTGGATGTGTTGTATGTGAGTGTGTAAAGAGTAGGAAGGGTAGGTGGATGTATTGTATGTGAGTGTGAGGAGGGGTCAGAGGTGAGCAGTACTGGAAGAGAGATGCAGGGGTGAGACATGGTGGAAGAACAGTGCAGGGGGTGCAGAGTTTAGCAGTAGTGGAAGGGGTGCAAAAGAGAGAAGTGGATGATGGCTTCAGGTGATGGACAGGTTGCTCTTGGAGGGAGAATTTTGCTGGTAAGTGGTGGACAAGGAAGTGTAGAGGGGAAATGTGCATGCAGTGCTGCAAAGCAGAAGGGCAAACAATGGGTGACGGAGAGAGAGGCAGAAGTCTGTGGAGGATGGTGATGTTAGGAGGGGTTGCTTTTCAGGGGAGAACTTAGCCGGAGGGGGATTTTCATTTGAGGGGGGATTTAGTTGAGGTAAGAAGGGTTCATTTTTGAGGGGTTTAATAGGAGGATATTTTCCTGAATGCCATCGCTCTGTGCTGTGTGTTAAGCACTCGTGACCTCTGCGATTTGTATGCTGGCAGTGCAGCAGTCATCAATATGCAACATGATAAATTATGAAAAAGATGGTTATTATTTGTAGGATCGTTGTTTCCTACATTTTGTTAAAAAAAAAATAGTTTCTGAAAAAATAAGGGAGTCTTTGTATTTTCTCACATAATAAGGAGTGCTTTTTTCTGGACGTGTATTGAAATTAAATTTTGAAACTGAAATTGAAAATAAAAAAACGTCAGGCCAAAACCGAAAATTATTTTTTTTCTAACCTTTTAAAAAAAAATAAGGTATTTTTTTCTAAATGTTTTAATTTTTTTATATTTAATTTTTATGTATTTATTAAATATTTTTATGTTTTTAACTTTACTGTTGAGGGCTTTGGGAAATATCAGGGGTCTAAACAGACCCCTGATATATCCCTAGAGATTGAGGACCCAGAGCCTCTATACTGAGTGTTCCTGTTCACACTTAAATTGTGGCGATAGTATGTTTACTATGTACACAATCATGAATGAATAGGAAGTGATGTAGATCACTTCCTATTCATTCATAACTGGTACATGGTAACTCATACTAATTTAAGTTTTTTACAAACATTCAGTGATCACTGATCGCTGACTGTTTGTATACCGGAATCTTAAAATAATGGAACATGAATATTTCAGATCTCATAATGAGAGATCTGGCAAGTGGTGTACAAGGAAGAGTAGAGGGGAACCATGCATGCAGTGATGCAAAGCAGAATGGTGGGCAGGTGCTGCTGCCGTGCACAAATAAGCAGTGAACAATAGATGCGGGAGAGATGGGCAGAAGTCTGCGGTGGATGGTGATTTTAGGAGGGGTTGCTTTTTGAGGGAGAACTTAACTAGAGGGGCATTTTCATTTGAGGGGGGATTCAGTTGAGGTAAGAAGGGTTCAT